CAGAGGGAGAAATAACACGGGTACCTTGCATGTGTGATGGCTAGAGAGGTACAGCTTCAAAAAAAGCCTTCTTCAACTTTCAGGACATTTGAGAAAACAGGGTAGGAGCCATCGGAAAAATACAGAGTCCCAGGATACTCCGCATGACAGACAGAACTTGCTCTTGGGAAACCAGGGCTTCTACGCAGATTCTACATCCCTTTCAGTGTAAGGCCACCCATTTCTAGGGCTCATGTGCGGCACAGTACTGTAACGATGCAAGCAATTAGAACTTATAGGTAGAGGCTCAGGCCTGAGCCACGTTACCTAAGAAAATGGGCTTAAAAGGGTGCCTCATAAGTTCACCTATCCGCACAGCGCACAAGAAAGGCAGAGATGCACTTAGATCAGAAAGGAATCTGAAGAGCAAAGGACAGTGGATCTCATGCAGATCCAAATTTAATATTCCGCATCTGCCAAAGAGGCGACAAAGAGAAAATATGTAGAAGCAAGCGCTGTGCACCTCACAGCCAGTTAGCACCCCAGTGTCGCGCATGCCGCCCACTCCTGTCTTTGGTGCTGACCAAGGGCTTTCCCATGCTCAGTCCTGAGAACTTACCAGAGTGAAGACATTCAGCATCAAGGAGAAAGCTTATTCCCTCCCCCGGCACAGCCGCAGGGGAGGAGCCCACCTCCCTTTCTAACGTCATTTCTGATACAGTGCTAAGTGGGGAATATCACAAAAGATGACTCTGTAGGGTAGAGATGTGCACAGAGATACACATGGCTTTCGGATGAACACAGACGTCTGTGATAACCACGCGATGCTTTCAGAGAAGTTTTCAATGTAACCTTTACCCTCTCAAAAGGCTGCTTTACTCGATCATTTGTTGTCCCAGTAATTATATTTAAAGTGGCATCTGTGATTTTTTTTCCCCTGAAGGAATACATACTTCCTAACGTTTTCTTTTACTTTTTGGTTGGCCAGAAAAGCTTGATTTTGTCTCTTTTCCCTTCATGCCTACTATACAAATTATGTATTTCTTGATCAAACAAACTTTGGGATCAGTCAACTTATCGCATCTAAATTCAGTTGATGGGCGGCAGGCACAAAAGCATGAGAAAAAAATCTGCTGAAAAACAAAAGAGAGGAACTGTTTTAAAAAGTGCTTGGACCAGGGATTTAGCTCAGTGGTGCCGCTGCCTACCTTGCAGGTGGCAAGGTCCTGAATTCGATCCCTGTGGCAAAAAAAAAAAAAAAAAAATGCTTTAAGCCCAGCATGGTGGTGCATGGCTGTAATCCCAGCACTTGGGAGGCTGAGGCAGGAGGATCAGGAGTTCAAGGTTAGCTTGGGTTATATGGTGAATCCAAGGCCAGCCTGAACTACATAGCAAGATCCTCTCAAAACAAAAGCAATTAAGTACACATATACATTTATACAGATTGTTTTTCGCTTTAACTCCCTCCTAAATTGGAGAGGCCAGGCAGCAAACTCCACTGGCCTCACTGGCACCTTGCTCTACTTCAGTCCTGTGTATAAGGTCTGTGCTCACCAGAAACTGCTCTGCATCCTCGCCAGGGCCAAGTCCTCACCCCATGGACTCACTTTACACACGCACTGAGACTGACATGCAGTGGCCCTATCATTACTCCTACTGTTGACAAATCTACCATTCCCAAGATTGGCCTAGAATGCAGAATGTCCATTTTTTTTCTTCAAACACAAAGCTCCCATTCACCTAATCTTTTCAGTTCACTGTGATCCTATTTCTTAGCTTTGTTTTACTTTCGGCTGCCAACATGCACTTAAAAAGCATGCAGACACACTGAAAAAAGCCTCAATGCACCTTACTGTGGGTGGGGATGACTGGACTCTTGCTATGACACTTGAGTCATGTTTGAGTAATGAAATAAACAAACTAAAATGCAGAGCAAGCACAAGAATCATCTTTTAATCAGTATCTTTTAGAAATTATTTTCAGTAAGAAAAAACTATGCTCCTACACAGCTTGGTGACTCAAAAGACTGGCATCATCTCATTTTGAAAAAGATCTCCTTTTAAAAAAACAAAACCACCTAACCTTCTGCTTGCCTGCCCAGAAAAAATGATTTTCCTGTTGATTAAACGTTTACTGTAGAAAATAAAAACCAAAGGAAGAAACAGAAAAACACTTACATTTTTACAAAGAGCCCTAAGACCATGCGTTGAATGTAAGAATGCTTTATTACCCAGAAGGCCCCGAACTAAGGCAAGGCAGGGCTACAGTCTTCTCTGATAGCAGGCAGCTGACCTGGTACAAATCTTCTGAGGCTTCACGCAGGTGTCTAGGGTTGTCACTGTGCCCACAACTGTAGAAGCCCGCACAAGAAAAAAGAACCACAGTGCAAGAAGGGAAAGGCACAAGTCCTTGAATGGAGTTGCCACCCAGTTCCATCGCTGTGGGCACCGCCTTGAAACCGCCCTGTGGCACTCTGTGACACCTCCAAGGAAGACTCATGCTGAGTGGGGAATAAGCCTATTTGCCCCCTCCTCTCCTGGAGCAGTCCCTTCTTTCCACTGTGGAAGTTCTAATCCTGAACAACTTCTGCATTTATATCAACGGGAATGTCTCCTTATAAGTATGATGTGTCCTCTTCTGTACTCCAGAATCACTCAAATAAACCTCTTTGCTGCACAACATGCCTTTCAATGTACAAAGACCATTAGGATATATTCACTTCCCTGTCCAAACTTTCCTGCAGAATTCAATGTAAAAGCTGGAGATGGGAAAACTGGTGTCACCAAGCTAGTCCTGACCTCCTCCCCTCTGCCTCAAACATCTACTGCGCCCTCCGTGGGGGAGGCACAAGCAGGCCTCAGCCACTACCCTTGAAGAGATGCAGATCAGCAGAGACAAACAATCTTCATTAATAAACACGTGTGCCCACTAAGCATCAGGATCTCCTTATGACTGACCTTGTTCTAGATAGAAGAAGATCCATGTGTTCTGCCAGAAATACAAGAAAATGCTTTATAAGGATTTCTTAAAAGCATCAAGATCGACTGTAATATTGGTACTGCTGCAAAAGCATCTCAGCTAGGTACTGATGTTAAAATCAATTTTCCAACTTACGATAGATGAAGAGTTAAGAACCCCAAATGAACGATCTTTGTGAGTAAAAGAGTTCATTTACTTCTTAAAAAGATTCCGCAATAAAATTACCTAATTCCTGAAAAAACTAATTGTTAGACTGATACATTTTAATGTGTTACAGTAAAAGTTTGGTGAACACAAATAACTGTCCTGTACGTTAAAATGCACATCCACCTAAACTAGAAACTACATTTATCAATTACAACGTGCTCCAGAGAAGCAATAAAAACTAAGGTTGTTTCAGTAATGTGTATGCATATTGCACACATGTATATAAAGAATCACGAGTCTTGAAGCCTTCTTTCAAACATATTTGGAATATTCAGCCATTTGGGTGAACAGGCAAACCAAATACATGAATTTCAGAACATTTTTGGAAGTAAAAGTCAATTAAGTGCATTTTTTCCCTTTACAACTAAATGTCGAGAAAATACAGGAAAACCCCTAAGTGCAAAAAAAAAAAAAAAAAGGAAAAAAAAAATTCATTGAATAAAGTAGCAGTATTCTTTCAGTTTCAAACGTAACAGTTTTTGAACGGTGATTCCAGCTTTAACACTCTTACAGGTTTCTGGAGATGCGCAATCTAGTATTACAGCCTGGGAATTGGTATTTTGTTATAAAACCGACAACTGCCACCTAGCTTCCAGAGCGCGGTTGTATTTTCTCTCAGGGCCCCTCAACTTTCATTAGTGGACTCGATCGCATTGCTCAAGATACCAAAGCTTGAAATTAAACAAACCACGTCAGCATGAAAACGCAAGTTAGAGAAACTAGAGTAACTCACTGTAGGGGACGGCAGCTCCGCGGCCAAGCCCGGAGCTCGGAGCATTTGTGTAATACGCTCCGTTTCAGGGATCACCAGCGAACCTTTAACGTGGGTAAAACTCGAGCCCACTTCCAAGCTTCGGAGAGGGGCAGGGTAGACCGAAGACTTACACAGAGGGGTACCAGGTCGCAGGGGCGTGCAGCTCGTCGGGGAGGTGCCTCGCCCGCAGGGCGGCAGAGGGCAGGCGCCGCGCACCCGGACGCCTCCTCCCGCAGCGCCCGGACGGGCGGCCAGGCCCGGCTCCCGCACCTGCAATGCGGCTCCCCACCGCGTCCCGCCCGCGGCCTCGCCTCCCCCACGCCGCACCCCGCCGGGCGTCCTTCCCTCCCCTCGTCCCAGGTCGTCTCCGCGAGGGGACCCCTGGCTCCCCCCAGCCCGCACTCCCAGCCGGAACCCTTCCTGCAGAGCGCAGCGCTCATTCGGGAGCTGGTACGCGAGCTCCGGTCCCCTCCGGGCCGCCAGGCGAACGGGGCTGGACGCGCGCGCTCGGGCCCCGCCTCACCTGCGGCCCGGCGGTCCGGTCCCTCAGACGGCTCGCGGCTCGGCGCGGTCCTCCGGGCGGGCGGGCGGCGGGAGGGGCCCGCGGCCCATGGGCGGGGGCCGAGCCAGGTCAGTGGGCGCCGCCCGCCCGGCGCATCTCCCCGGCTCCCTGCGAGCGCCCGCCGCGGTGCACGCTGGGAGCCGGCGGCGCTGACCCCGCGGGCGGGAGCGGCGCCGGCGCGGCGGCGGGTCTGTATGTGCGGGGAGGGGCGGAGGAGCCGATCGAAGCTCCCTCTCCCTCCGCGGGAAGAGGGCGACGCCCCGACGACCCCAAATGTGGCGGGGCGGGGACGACTACGCAATACTGGGGAGGGCCCGGCGGGTGGGACGCAGGCGCACCGCCCAGGTGCGGCCGCACTGCGGTTGCCCCGGGTAACGCGGGCGGAGGGCGGGGGAGTTAGGGGAGGCGAGCGGGAGCGCTCGCGCGTCGGCGGTGGGGGCGGGACCTGGACGGCGCGATGCGCATGCGTGCGGCCGGTGCGCTACACCCTCCCTCTTCATCCCCGGGGCGCTCCGGCCTCGTGCGTGCGCACGCGCGCTGTCCCCCAGAGGCGTCTGGGTGTGCGGAGCGCGCGCGCGCGGCTCAGAGGCGCACCTGTGAGGTGTTCCCGGAGGAGAGGGCGGGTGGGCGTGCGGAGCCCGCGGCCTGGGGCGCTCGCACCCCGCATTTGGAGTGAGTTCCTCGGCCGAGTCGGAGTCTCTGTGTTTTCCTTCCTGGATGGGGGCGGGGGAGCGGGGTAAAGAAAAGGAAAACAACCCATCACTCCGGGCGGGCCTCGAGCCGCGGCGGCCCTCGGGGATCGCGGGGACGAAGGTCAGCGCCGCCCCCCGGGCGGGTCCAGGCCGAGCACCCAGCCGCCCCCCGCCTCGGGAGCCCGCGGGCCCGCAGCGCCGGCGCGGGGCACGGGGGGCGCGGATGGCGGCGGCGCGAGGCCGCGGTGGCAGCGCGCGGGGCGATGCCGGGCGGAGGTCGTGGGCGCCGGGCCCGGGCCGGTCCATTGTTGTCGGAGCGCAGGGAAAGGGGAACGCGACGACCCCGGGGCTGGTGGCCGCCCTTGGAGCCGTTCCAGGCGGGTCCCGGGAGGGCGGTGAGGGCCGCGCCGCGGGCCCGGCGCCGGAGAGCTGCGGGCCGCCGCTGCAGCGGGCGCTGTGTGTGTTTTCCAGCGCATTCGTCGGGGCGGAGGCCGCCGAGCATCCTGCCCAGGTGATGAGTGCCGATCCGCGCGCCCCGCGCACAGGGCTGCTGCCGCTGGACGCTTCCATTGTTTGACCACCAGGGCCGGGCGCTCCCAGGTAAACTGGCCGGCGGGCGAGCTCCCGCACTGCCAGCCAGGGGCATTCTCTCCTCCCCGGGACTTGACTGCAGTTTCCTTGTTGTTCTCTCCTCTGATTAATTCAGTAGACGCCCCTAGATGTCTTCTCTTCCAGATTAGCGGCCCGTATCTGTGCCAAATCATTTCTCCTTTCCCTCAGAACTCAGCTCCTTTGTGAGACCTTTCTTGTCCAACTCCCAACAACTCGATCTCGAGGAGGAGCCTGCTCTGCGCACAGCTCGAGTTGATAGTTTTGCTTATTGGCTGTCTTGTTGCATGCAACAAAGGAGACCCGCTATTGAAAAAAAAACCTCAAGCTGTTGCTTTCTTTAAGGAACGTTTTGTGACACTTAAACAGTTAATTGTTTTAACAAGATTGAACTCTTTTAGTGTATTTTGTCTCATTTTTCTAGAGGGTGTTTTTCCTTTGTAGCTGCATACCTTTTCAGAGCAGAAAAATGACCTTGTTCAATCTACAGATTAATTGAACACTTAAAAATTAACGTAACATTCGTAGAGCTTGACTTTTCTTTGTAAATACGAATGCACCACAGAGGTGGTGAAAGTCTTTCGGCTGTCAGCCTATCTCCGAGGAATTTCGTGAGTGTGGTGTGTTAAAATACTTTTATAAGGTACTTTACCATCTTGGACTATTTTAACAAGTACTAGCCAACTAGTACTCCTTCAGTTTTAGCATATAGTGCTTTAATTCATTTTTAAGAACGGCTGCATTCTGTTGCCTAGTTTGGGTAACTGCAGTTTAGCCATTTCCCAGATTGATGACAATTTAAGTTTTAACATTAAAACAGGTTTGCTGGGCAGTGGTGGTTCTCTGATCAGATAAAGGAGTAGAAGTCCGTATAATTACAGAGATCAGGTGTTTATGATGGAAGTTCTCTTTGGTTAAGAATTTACGTGTGGGAACTTCTACTCCTCCCAGGGTTAGTTATATTGTATGCTTACAAGTCCTGTGACCTTGAGGAGGACACTTAGTCGCTCCCACCCTCAGTTTCTGTAAAGGGCGCTAATACCTACTGTGTCTCCTCCACAGTGATACCATGCGAAAGTGCTTGGTAGAATGGGAAGTGGGAAAAGAAAAGATTGGTCTTATTAGCTTTTGTGATCTAAAATTTGTTCATTTGCCAAATAATTTGTATTTTTTTCATCAAATGTATCACAAAATACTGGAGGTAGTTAATTGAGTGCTTTTAAATTTGTGATTTTGTTGCAGTTTTTATCAAATGGCACTAGTAACCTAAAGAATATTTTGTAAAGCACATTGTGCTTTTTTACATACATTAAAAATAAGCACATAAATTAGTTGACTATGAATTGATTTCTCTGCGAATTGAACACTGGATAAAAATTCTAATATATAAATAAAATTTATTTCATAGTGATGTAAATTGTATATGTATTTTTCTGTGGCAGCAGCAGATTCAGATTAGCTTTTATGTTCTTTCAGGGAAAATGGAATCCTTTTGAATTTGTAGGGAGCATCAGAAATTTTACCAATTTACCTACTGAGGAAGTGGGTATCATTTTAAGGTATAAGAAATACAGTGAGGGCTATTGTAGGGTTCTTTTATTGTTATTGAGATGCATGTGAGTGGCCTGTGGTGTGGCCAGCAAAATCAGCCTGTTCCTGTTCTCTCAGAGTGTGTAGTCAAGTCTTTGGGGTGGGGGGGATGAGAAATGCGTCACCTGACTGCGGGTCTCATCACAAGCTGTAGTATCTGCTGGGGAAGTTAGGGAGTGCCTGCTGCGAGAGTAAAGTCAGGGGTAGAGGGTGCTCAAGAAAGGCTTTTTTGGAAAAATAAGATTTAAGCTGAGATTTGAAGAGTAGTAGGCGTGGGTGTCAAGTGAAGTAGGGGGTAATTTTCCAGGTGGAGGAACAGCATGTGGGAAGGCCCTGAAGGGAGAAAAGCTTTGCCCATTCCAGGAATTAAAGGAACCTTGTCGAGGTGTATGGGTAAGGGGGAAGTGTGGCCGGGGGTGGGGGAGGGGTGTGCAGATCCTGTAGGATCTTGTAGTGCAGGTTAGGGATGTTGAGTTTTATCCCAAGTGAAATGGGAAACCATTGTAAAGATTGGGTTTTAAGCCGGCGAGTGACCTAATCAGATTTGCATTTTTAAAGGAGCACTCCAGTTGCCCCGGGCAGAATTGGGGGTGTGGGTGGAGAGTGGAGAGTAGGCAGGGCACTTCATAGGCTCTAGGGGAGACGTGGCTTGTGCATTGGAGTTCACAGTGAATTTACACAACCAACTATAAAGTCAAAACAGATGTGTGATTTTATTTGATTTATTTTTTAGTTTTAGTTTTTTTTGGTACCGGGGATCGAACTCGGGTCCTTGGGCTTGCGCAGCAGGTGGCAAAACCACTGAGCTAAATCTTTAGTTTTTGAAACAGGGTCTCACTATGTAGTTCAACTTGGCTTTGAACTCACTATGTTGCCCAGGCTGGCCTCAGATTTCCAGTGATCCTCCTGCCTCAGCCTCCAGAGTGCTGGGATTACAGGCATGCACCACCGTGCCTGGCTCAGATGTTTGATTTTTAAAAGTTCTCATTTTTTACTTTAAAAAAATTAGGGCTGATAAAGTAGGAAAAATCGGGCATTTTTTTCAATGAAAAAGTGCAAACAAAGTTTAAACTAGTTGTTCATGCTATACTTAATAGAAAAGTATCAGAGGCTGAAGTTAAAAATTGGAACATTATTTAACATAGTTTTTTTGTAAGTTTTGACACAGCCATAACACATAAGAGTGAGGTGAGGATCTCAAATGAAGAGAAATATTTGTAGGTGCTATTGACTCCAAAGAGAATAACAAAAATGATTGGACAAAAAAGATTGATGAAAGGATGGAGTATGTGATGCATGTGTAAAATTCATAGTTTTCTGAATACCAAATAAAACTTAGCAGAAAGTAAAGTGGAAGAAACAAGACAGGAAACTGGCTTTGACCACATTAGAAAAAACAAAACCTGTAGGTATAGCCTTGTTGAGACAAGCATGCTCTACATGGAGGAGATCATAAAATATTTCAAATTATCTGAAAGAATACCTTTAAAGAAAAGCCATGTTTCTAGATGTGATATTTAAATGTCACAGAGCTGTCCTTTTCTCATTGAACTTGACAGTAAATGTGAGTTTGTTGTCTGTGGAGGAGGGGGATCAGAAATTAATCAACTGCTGGTCTAATCACAAGCTGTAGTACGGTGAGACAAATATACTCAAATGGGGTTTAGAGCCATCTTCACTAAAATGGTTCTACTGGCTTTAGGGTAGCTGTACAACAGGTCACTGGAATCTATTCCTTACCCCACAAATAAGCTATTTGATATGGTAAGGTAATACATGATAACTTAGCATGAATGTCTCAAGTCTAAACATTGAAGTCAGGAACATAAATGTCTGGAAAGAAGAGTTCTGCATGCTTAGCACAGGCTTCGCAGCTAGTTGTACCTAACTGGAATCTTGTAAGGAAAAGAATCTTGCCTTTCAGGAGTTTTTAGAATGAGGGGTAAAGGCCCTGGCATCTGCAGGGCACTCAAATCTGTTATTGCTAGAGAGAAAATAATGTAAAAAAAAAAATCAGCGTATTAGATTACATAAAAATTTAAAACTTAAGGGAAACAAAATCCTGTAGTTAAAAGGCAAACCATAAAGTCAGAAAATTGTAACATGATAAGCAAAGAGTTGATATCTGTTTTATGTAAAGAGCTTATATGGCATCTGACTGATAATCAGATGATTAGTAGTTACTCTGATAGACAAGATTCTATTCTCAATAGCAACAAACCTAGAACACATTGGAGAACAAACCATAAATTTACTAAAACTTTATGAATGGTAAAAACCTTTTACCAAATTGATTTCAGTTAAATAAATGAGTAAGCTTTTCAAGGACTCTGCAGTGCTTACAGGAGAACAGTTAATATGCGTGGTGTGTATGTATTGCAGCCTCATTTATAATGAGGAAAACTTGAAGATAACAGCAGTAGATTTTGTGCTGTGGAACAGACAGACTTGTGCGTGTGTATTGGCATAGCCTGGATGGATGTCTGTGATACACTGTTGAGGCAAAAAAGCAACCTTAACCCTGCTTCCTTTTTTGATAAGGAACAAACAAAAATAATCACGTGTGTATGTCTCAATAAATATAGAAAAAGACCCAGAAGAATCTGTAGAAAACAGTTGCTTGTAATTAGTCCTAAGGGAAAAGCATGGGAAGATAGAGCCGGGAATTTAGCTCAGTGACACCATGCCTGCCTTGCAAGTGCAAGGTCCTGAGTTCGATCTCTGGTACCAAAAAAAAAAGCATAGGAAGATAAGGGTTTCTATTTCATATGCTTTTGCATAGTTTTGGTGATTTTTTAAAATAACACTTTGTAATAAAGATGTTATAGTTTTTCACCAGTTGAATACAGATCTAAATGTAGAGTAAAACTTTTTAGTTCTTCATACCTTTTGAGTATATCCTTTTAAGATATGGTAAAAATGGCACTCTCCTATGTTACATTGGTCATATATATATTGAGATTGTAAAATATATTCTTATTTCCTGACATAGCAACCCTGTAGGAATCATTAATGGAGTATTTTTAAGCATAGAAAAACAGCCTATGAACAGATGTACGTATATTGTAGAATTATTTTAAGGGTTTAATTGCAGAATAGTTATAATGCATCCATTAAATAACATTGTCACTAAAAAAATTGTTTTTGTGTGTTTGGAAAAGGACTTTATTTAAAAAGAAACTAAGGGCCGGGGATTTAGCTCAGTGGTTTCGCTGCCTGCTGTGCAAACGCAAGGACCCGAGTTTGATCCCCAGTACCAGAAATAAAAAATAAAAAAATAAAAAGAAACCAAAATTTGGGCCAGGGATTTAGCTCAGTGGTGCCATGCCTGCCTTGCAAGCACAAGGTCCTAAGTTTGATCCCCGGTACGGGAAAAAATAAATAAGTAAGTAAATAAAAAG